CCCTCCCTTTTCTCTGACTGAGGAATCCTTAGCTTTGTCGCGAAAGCTCTTTTGGCTGCTAACCACGCAATTCCGCCCTTTTTCCCCCCCCTTTATCTCGTTGCTCTCGTGTGATCATCCTGCTCCTCTCGGTCATGACAACACCCCAGCTCTCCGCCGCCCTCAGATTTCAGAAGCGTAATTCATAACGAATATGCACAATAAAGTCAGTTCCGGGGAAACCTGAGGGACCAAACTGGCGTCCCCTCTACAACCTGCTAACATGGCATTTACTGCTACAAAAAACCCCGCAAGTCATCCGCCTCTCCACCCTGTTCCAGTTCCCGAAGGAATCCCCGTCGTCCCCACGCTCAGCAATGCCTTCCGAATTAGCGCTTCGCTTAATTCAATCCACTGTTATTGCCCCTGTGAAGGAAATGAGTTTTCCCGTCAAAAGAGAGACTGATCTAACGGAGCGTCCTTCTGGTAAAACCCTGGTGTAACTCACCCCGCCTTCCCGTCACCTCTTGGTTCTTTAGGTTTTTTCTCCAAACTTGTTCCAAGGCTTTGCCTGTTATTGGTATCAAACTTGCAGGCCTCTTACTGCCTGTATCAAATCTTCTCTTTTGACTATAGGTGCCATGTTTGCTAGTCTCCTGCCAACATCTCTGAGTGTAGACGTCAGTTACAAATCCTGGGACCACGCTCGTGATTTCGTATCTAGTTCTTTCATCATTTTGAAACGGAGATGACTCTGCATCCTCTCATTTTGTCCAAGTATGTGTTTCGCAATGAGGGCACTGAAAGTGGCCTTCACATCCTTCTCTGCCCCTTTTACGGTCTATAGGGGCACAACTCTCTGCTCGCTCTCGTCTCGTTCTGGCTACGAAACTTTATGTTTAGTACAAAAACTGAACGTTTTGCTACTTCTTAAAATTGTCTGTGTGCGGTCTAGGTTAACAAGGCTTTTGAAGAGTCTCTACTATAGCAAAAGTTCTTTGGCGATATCACCGCATAGATCGGCCTGAGCCCCTTGTAAGCCTGCGCGCCAGATCTCACGCATCTAACTTACATGCTGAAATCCATGGTCTATGATCCATATAAAGTCCATAAAGACCATATAAAGAAGGAGAAATGCCTCTTCGCAGGGTATTCAGGGAAGAGGTTCAGGACGCCTCTACTAGACGTTTTGAGTATTCTGAAGTGGAAACTGTGAATGCCTGCTTTCTTCCTCCGTTCCCACACTGCCGTGAGCTGGGGAGCCAACAGTTTTGCCAGCAATATATTTTACAACCCTAAGATTTAAAAATATTGTTTGTGAGCTAACTCACTATCTGAAATGCCTCACAGAATCTTTCATCTCCTAAAAATCTCTAAACAGTTAATCACATGCATGGGAGGTACAGCGCATCCTTTATGTATTTTTCATGCGTGTGTGTACAGAAAGCAGGAAAGCAACCTCTCCAACAGATAGCCCTGGAACACTGTAAAAGTGAGCAGATGTTTTCAGATAATACCTCTGTCAATAAGGTCAGGACTTTCTCTGTTCAGCAGCCAGCTTTGCTGTGTGCTCTAAGATCCGCATGGATTGTTTTCAAAACTCTCTTGTTTCATGGGATTCCAGGGGAGACTTAGTCATATAAACATGAGCGCATCTGAGGTAAGAGACTCCCAAGTACAGCGCTTCAAAACAAAGATAATCGTGCAGCCTTGATATCTTGCAGTTCTTACCGCAGAGTTTTTGTACTCGTGGTTCAAATGGTAGCTCCCCAGTTGAAACGGCCAACTGGAGTTAGATTTAACTGGTGTAAGGTACTTTGCACCTTTTCAGCGATCAACGCTACAAATGTTATTCGAAATAAATACTGAATCTGAAGTTGAGCTTCAGCCAATTTTACAAAGTAGAGAAGATGCGCAGCATAACTGGCCTCTAGAGCAACTACAACAGTTACAAGTAGCCTGACACAGTAAGAAAGTGGTTCAGGAAGGCCTGCTGTTCTCCTATGTAATATCTATATATTGAAGTTTGAGGCTGACCCTGAACAGTTTTTTGATAATGCACGTCACGCGCAACTGTTTCAACAAAGAAGCAAACTTCTGCTGAGTTCAGAAAGCTGGGGTTTCATAGTATTCACGGGCATGTGCAAGTGGACTATTTAAAACTGCTGTCAAAGAATGAAGCACTAACTGAAGAAGGAAGACACACACATCGAGTAAGCAGCAGCTTTAGGGTAATTTAAATAAACCTCATGATCTTCAGCTCTTTCTTGAAAAACATAACTTCTTGGGATCCTCAACAGAAGGTGGTGGTGAGTCACCAGGGTCATGCTGCCCGTGGAGATTGCTGAGCGTCAGGAAATGCACCGTTATAAAGAGCTGAGGATCGAAAGGCTGAGACTGAGCCAAGCTAAGATGGTGCTATCATTGCTATCGATCCAAACAATAACTTGGACATATCAGGAAACAAATGTCAATTTTTTACAACACTGGGCACAAACTACAGCATGTGTTTTGAAATGATGTTCTAATCCAGAAAATCAAAGTTTGTGCCAGTTACTTTCACCACTGTTAACTTCAAAATCCTGCTTGAGTTTGTAATATGCAGAGGCCCCGAAGGTACGTGGAGGGAGAGCTATAGAAAAGCCACCACAAACTGTAATGAGCCAAAGCTTGTGAAGATCTAATTTTTCAAACTACTTTTGACCTGGTGCATGTAAAGTAAAGAGGTAACTTTTTTTTATTGTCAGATATATTTATATCGGGGTATATCATACATGGTTTTGCTTATCATTTGCTTTTCATATATTCAGATATACAAGAATCTGTGATAGTCCGAGACCTTAAGAGGGAACCAAAGACACTGCAGGTAGTCAGCTGGGAGGCCTGGGCGCTCACCTCCCCTAGCAGTCTGCAGAGGGGCTCAAAGCTTGCCCATTTTGTCATTTATTCTAGGAAAACACAGCAACCCTCCCTACCTCGATCAGATCCTGGGACTACCACACATCCAGTGCTTGTGGGTGACTGGATAAGTCTTACAGCCCACACTAAATCTAACCAGAGCAGTGGGCTTGGGATCAAAAATGCTGCATCCCAGCTGCTGCAGAATCGTTAGACTAAGCTTTCTCAGGAAAATGGAAAGGAAACGGCAGCTTGCAGAGAAAAAGAGAGAGCTGCTCCAGAGACAGGGCATACCGAGCTTTGCAACTACTAATTAAAATCTTGGCCGTCACCCAGATTTTTGTGCGTAGTTCTTGCAGCCTGACCTGCAGCTCGCACACGTTACAAAGGCAGAGGCAGCACCCTCCTGCAGCCGGAGGTTTTTGGCACCCTTCGTGGTTAGTTGCAGACAGGCCAGAATTCAGCAGTTTGGTCTGAAACTGGCAATGACTTGTATATGCCACAAATGGTATGAGGAGAGAATGTGATCAAAGAGCATGTTTATACCAATGTGAAGAACTATGAACCTACTAAGGTATTTCATCAGTTTGTAAATTATTAAGATTTTTTAACACCAGGAGTTCTTAAGGCATAATCATAAACAAGGTCTAGAATTAAGCAAAACTATATTTGAATTTTGCTTGAACTTAAAACATTTGCACTTCATACATTTGCCAAATTTATTTGCATTTGCTCTATTTCTGTATTACTAAAAATGGATACTGTATCTGAGTTTCTTACAGATGATGATTTAGTTTTTATGAAACCCTAGGTTGAGAGAAATTTTGGCTATACTATGACACCGTGTAATATAATGTTTTATTTGCTTTCTCTGATTTCCGTTGCTGTCGTATCAGAACGTTCAAAGGATTAGTGGGCCAAAGAATCAGGATTCTTCTAAAAAGAACTGCAGGCAACTGATCCATCTCCAGACTTCAAAGAGATCCTTGACTGGTGACTTCTCAGAGAGTCACAATTTAAGTACGCCTTCCCCATCTTTCCCGCTAAGTGGTGGGAAACAGTGAAAGTTTAATGAAAATTGATTGGCACTGCTCTATCGCCAAACTGTCTTTTTGCTTTATTCCGTCAGAGCTCTCTACTACAAGTCATAGGATGCCACATTTACACACTAAAGCTCTCAGCCTTCCCAGAAATCCCAGGAAGGCAGATTTTTTTGTTATTTTCAGCAGGACATTGCAGCTCTGTATCGCGACTGCTGCATTTTACACGAGCTTCTTGTGCCTGCATACACTGATCCTATCACACATTTATTCACAAAAGGTGGATACAATGCTATGGCACTATCTTGCAGTGGATAAGGTAAATTAAGAAAACGGGGCAAGTCCTCATTTGACGGAAGAGCTCTACTGAAGGAAATAGAGCTATATTGGTACACAGCAGTTTAAGATCTCTGTTGACAGCTGTGGGACAAGAGTTAGATTGGGACAATTATCCTGCCGCTAATATTAACAGCAAAGCAGAAAGTAGATTGACCTTTTCCCCTGCACGGGTTGCACAGCTTTCTTTGTCCTGTCCTGTAGGATCTGCCAGGCTTCGACTGCGAGTTGCAGGGTGATTTCAGGGCTTCTGGGTCATCATCTGCTTCCTGCGCTTTCAGGTTGCTCAGTCATCCCAGCCCCCGCTTGAGAGGTTCCTCATAACTTCACGTGGAAATACAGGCAGAGCATACGGAGTACGTAACGGTGTCCGTCAATGCAGATTGCAGGTAAAGCCCTTAAAGATATTTAAAAAACTGTTACCTGCTACCAAGTGAAAAAGTGGCCATTTGCAGCAGAATTTGTCTCATGTTACTACAAATGCAGTCATCTTGTTTATAACGATATAAGGAACGGAGAGTGAACAAGTGCCCTGCATTAGACCATTAGAGGGTGCTGGAGTCCACGTAATAATAATTGGCACTGACGTCCATCCAGTTCAATTGCCGATCATAGGACATCGACCTGTACAAGTCACAGTGGTGGTAACTATATAAAGATAAATCATTGGGGATGAAAAATCATGACTCGTTTTGTTGCCTTTGTAGCCTTGCCCAAAAATTGACTGACTTATTTTCCCCAAGACTATTCTCTCCATGCATTCCACAGATGTTGGAAATCTGATCAAATGCACTCATGCTATGCTTTTAGGTAAAATGTCACATGAAATACCATACGTTGACATTTCCTGTTTTCTGAGTTCTTCATTTTGCACCCTGAATAACATATTTTAAATGCACTTTATGCATACTATTCCATTCCTTTAAAGGTAAAACATAACAACAAATTTCATTCTATACCGCTACAACAACCCCATCTTCCCCATCCCCCTTCCTTTCCTGCCACACACAATTGTCAAGTGAACCCTGAACTTTTATCAGTGACATTTACTCTTTGACACAGGACTAACTGCATTAATTGGCAGTAACCTAAGTCTGCTAGGCTAATGGATGGGCCTTTTTTTCTTGCAAAGAAGAAGGGGAATTTCCTCACATACTTCCCTTAGAGAAAAACAAAACAGGCAGGGAGAGAAACACTACTGAACTTTGAAACCAGGTAAACAGACTTATACCCAGTAAATTATTTCCTTTTCTTTTAAAATAACATACTGTGGAGCTTTGAGTGACCTTGATGAAGCTTCTGCAAAACAGTCTTTTTAACATAAAGATAAAATTCAATGGTGTCTCTAAAGAATGAGATATAGACAATTATGTGATTCTTTGGAGGTAAACTAGAAAAATTCATCGGGTATGTAGTCAGCTCAGCGATGCATGGGAGAGAATGACACTTTCGTAAACTCACCAGATTCTGCAAAGTCTACATGGACCTGGCAGACATGATTTCAGAGCTGAACAGCAGTACTGGGTGTAGGCAGGCAGCATATGCCATGTGTAATTTTTTAATTTCCTGGTGGCAGCAATTCTTACAGGTGCAATAGCAGGTTTGTTTATTTTTTGTTCTTCATCAGACCTTTTATTAACATTCTGTTAGATCTTTTGACTGCACCTGGTTTGTTAGTGACTGAGTATAATGGCATCTTTGCCCTGGGCTCTTGAACACTGTGCGTATGGATGGGGAACGGAACAGATAATATGGATGCAAATTTCAAATTACTAGTTTTATCCCTGAGGCAGTTCAAGGAGGACAAACCCCAAGGAAAGAGGGAGAACAGCATGATTGTGCGTTTAGTTCCTACTAAAGGTATAGACTTGAATATGCTGTTCCTGGGGCTTTTAGTACTTTCCTTTACCTAAATATGTAGAGCAGAGGAAAGGTGCATGGAGTTAAATTTGACCCACAAATGTGATGATCCTGTCATATATGCAACACGATTATCTTAAATATCAAACTCAAATACTAGTGAAAAGTAGCATCCTATCTGATGAGAGAAGTTATCAAAATAAACACAAGGCACCACTTCTCAGTGGGAAAAAAAATGGGGTGAAGACAGTTAGAGAAGAAAAAGAATTCGATTAAGAACAGCAAATAATAAAATAACAAGAAAAACATGCTGATTTGGGGTCCTGATGGAAGTTCAGGTATGGAAACATAGTATCTTGGGGTCATGCTTGGGTATAAGAAGGAAAACCAAGAGGAGCTCACAGGGATTTGCTTGAGGCAGAGGTAAGGCAGCAGCTGAGAGCCCTCTTTCACAGACCTCCTCAAGATATGTAGGAGAGCTTCCCCTCTCTGCATCTACGGCAAGAGCCCCGAGGTGCTAACCTGATGCATGCACGAGTCCTCATCCCCTGCAGATCCTGGAGCCTGAGCAGAGACCACTAAACTCATTCCAAGTAGGTCAGTAAAGAGGCATAAGAAGGCAATGGCTTATATTAAGTTCTCAAGACTGTAGTCAAATAAGTGAGCAGGACATGAAAGTTTACCTGCTTTTATTACCAGTGTTTGTATTCCCCCAACAGACAACGCATTTTTAAAATGCCAAGGCACGTTTTTGCAACTCCCTGCTTTAGAGCCTAGTCTCAAACAGAGGCTGGTTCTCTGTTAGTGGTCCTTATCGCATGGCTAGCCCTTGACTGTGACTCTATTCTCAATTAAGAGATTTTTTTCTTTGCCACAGTTCAGTCTGTAGGCATCTTTTTATTTCTTTTTGCTGTTGTCATCATGATTCCTCTTCACTATTGCTTCTCTATATAAAACATAAATCTGTTTCAGCCAGGAGTACCTGTACTCTTCTGATGAAACCTTAGTCCCAGGGCAGATCATCAAGAGCCCTATATTGTCTGTGTATATTCTTCAAGCACAGCCAGTGCCTAAAGAAGAGCCTGTCACTTTACAGGATCAAGAAATCCAACCTCATGGATTTCAGGTCTGATGATCTTTTTGGTGAGTACACATTACCCATCATTGGCACCAAGTACACACTGATTTGGACTAATCACTGCACGGAGCGGTCCTTAATGAACTGAGAGGGAGGCATTTTCCACATTCAGCTCACTGTTCTCTAGCTAGAGCCTACAGAACTGGCTAAAGGCAACTGTTTTTTTCTGTTCTGTAAATTTTTCTATCTTACTGGAGTGTCTTTGATTTCTTTTTCTTTTAAGTGGTTTTCATGGTGATATTCCGCAGAGAGATCTCATGTGACCGCAGCAGCACACTGGTAATCTGCCTCTGAAAGTAAAACACCTACCAAAAGATTTATCAGATTTTGCACTTCCTAAGAGAGCGAGTGCTCTTGAGCGCTAGTCTACTCTCCAAGATAACTGCCTCACATCTGCCACATACTGTTCACATACTTTACAAACACCAGTGCTGTAGGATCCTCTCAAATCCATGCTACCTCCCCCACAAACTGCCAGGAGAGGCTTTGTAAGAAAAATGAGCTTCATTTGCAGTTTTTTTTTTTTTTAATCAGTACCTTTAATACTGATCTGATGTATTTTCTTACTCTTTTCTCCACTGCTGTATACCCATCTTCTGGAGGATGCTCCAATTGCATTTGCATCTGATGTTTCTCCCAAACCTGTTTCAGTCTGGTAATTAGTTTGAATACAGAATCAATTCAATTGGATTTCTAGAATGAATTCCATAATAGCCATGATAGGAAGTCTGATATTTGTAATCAACTGTGTAACTGTTGCTAGGACACTAGAATTGTTTGGGGGTTTTTTTTTGGAAAAAAAATCTCCTAAAATACTTGCCTTTTTAAAACTACAGATCCAAGATATGCAGAAGTTTAGTTGCTGCTAGGAGAAATTTTTTGGTGCGGTCCTATGTAAGTCATGTATTAGCTCTTGCCTCAGACAATACATGAAAAACAGCCACAAGCATCTACTAATGTATCTATCAGATAATTCATCAAACAAAATGTGATACAGCTACTGAATATTCATTGCCATGATCCATGTTTTTCCTGTTAGTCCATCTATGAGCTGAATAAACATAGAAAGCAACCAAGCATTGCAGACACACAGAAGACAATAAACTAACGACAATGATACTATTAAGTAGTAATAAGATAGTAAGCTATTAAGTAGTTTAGATGTAGCTTGTATATCTGACAGTAACAGATCATCCCCTGTAACAGTATGCTATAAAAATGTGTAACACTGAATTCTTTAGGCTTCCGTGATGAAACTTGTACCACCCTAATTAGAAACTGGAAAGGAACAAATTTCAGTTTTTACCCTTAGGATCTTTTTCTCAATTTCCTGCCTGTAGCTCCACAGCAAATACTGAATAGTTCTACGCCCTCTCTAGAGCTCAACTTCAATTACTTTTAGAAGTTTTTTCATCCTTAATTGTTGTTTATCCATGTTATAATTATTTAATACTTTAATTTCTTTTCAAAAGTCAATCATGAGCTTTTTCCTACTGTTTTTCTTTTCAGGACGTTCAACCACCTCAGCAGTGACAGATATAGTCCAGCGTAATTGTGATATGTGTGGGGAGTCATTATCTAGTGTTAATAACCTAGAGATATGTCTTCCCACCTGTCCTCACCAGGCTCCTTCAATTACCTCCATTGCTCTTTGCCTCTTTTTCTACATAGTCTTCTAATGCAATGAAAATTATTCACTTTATTATGCTTTAAAGATAATGTCCGCTTTCTTCATTTTTATTTTGCTTTCAATTCCTGTGTACGTTTCATTCACCTTCATTATCTAATGGAGAGTTGGAGGTAGAGAAGCTAGAGCTATTACTGATGAGATGTAATTAAAGCAATCAGAAGCACAGAGAACGTTATCCACATGGATTTATTCCTAAACGTAGCGTCTACCTCCAAAATGTGGTGAAAGTCTGGGTGCACTAAGTTGATTTCCAAAATCACGCTGAGTCCTGCTGCAGCTTTGTAAAAAGCAATGATGTCACTGATCAATGTTCTCTTCGTACAGTCACAGATCTCCAGATAAATACATTTCATGTAAGACTAGGGCACCCTATAAAATTCCTACGAGTGTCACCTTTAGTCTTCTGTGTACAGAAGGCTACTGTAGTGACCGCAGCTGGTTCAGCCTGCCTTTGATGGTCCATGTCCATTTTCTCTTGCTTCCTACAAGCTTCAGCTGGTCTAGGTTCTGACTGCTAGCAATGTAATGGATATTGTGAATTATAGCTGATGACCCTGAGAAAAATGCAATTTATTGTCAGTCCTCCATTACAGTCTGTGGGAAAAACAAAATAATTTTCTTGAAATGCTGTGTGAAAAACAAGTTTTGGCCCAAAATTTTCAGAACATAAAATAATCACTAGATTCACTCTTCTCTTGTAATGCCGATGAGCCCCAAGAGTACTCATAAATATTGGCAGACTAAAGTAGGCAGGATTTTGCCAGTTTTTTTCCTGCTAAATTGTAGTTAGTGTTTTTAACATAGTGATACATGACAACGCCCTTAATGCTATTCCTTGGAACTTCTTCCTGAAATTCTGTTTCGACTCCCTTAGATCGTAGGACATGTAGATCAGCTAACAATATCACTGCCAAAAATTGTCAATGAATTTGCTGATAGACCCCCAAGAAGGGGGTCTGTGCTTCCAGCAACTGCATCTCAGTTATAGCAGGAGGAATAAAATGGATTTTTGTACTTCCAAGTTTTATTTACTTTTGTTTCATGTAGATCAGTAAGACTTTCTTTTAACACAAATGGCCTGATTTCGGTTTTAATCATTCACTTTATAAAACTGAAAATAACATGAAGCTAAAAAGAGTGTACAAGGTGTTCTATTTCTGAAATTCTTAAAAAAAAAAACAAAACCAAAAACACAGTTTCTGCGTCTACACCACTTCACCATTCATACTGAGATGAATGTGGAAGAAGACAGCTAACACACACTGGAGACAAATCCCACTGAGACTTCACATGATGCTAAGAGCCGGTTGCTTTTCTTTCAACAATTAGTTCATACTCAGTTGATTATTATGTTGCCAGAGATCTAAAAAATCCTTTCAACTCGATCAGTATTTGTCTCGTAATGTGGACACTCTCTAGATTAACTCATGAAATCTCTCATGATTTCAACCAAAGCCTTATGGATGAAGAAATGAAATGAAAGTGGGTACATATAACTCATTTGCCACCACGGCTATACTACTAAAACTTCTGGTCTGCTGTTTGCTTAGTAATGCCGTTTGATTTGTATTATTTGTCAAATCTCTCTTACTGTAGTTTTTATCAGTGGAAGGTCTGCTTCTTTACAATTTCTACTAGAATAACCACATGTTTAGGAATACTTGCAGAGAACTGTATGCTGAGTCAGTGGCTACATTGCATCAGGGCTGACCAATATATTAGTGAACTGAATATAATAAAGTTTGTCAGCACCAAACACAGACCTGCCTGGATCCTTAGCACGCTGAATCAGAAGTTTTATGTTTCAAGTATCATCAGACTTACTATGTTTGCGGTTTCTTTCAGGACAATAGTCTAGCCCTCGCATGGAATATTATCCTGTTTTTCAACCTTCTAGTTTGGTTGAAGTTATTTCTCCTAACAAAACCTTTTCCTCCCATATTGAAACCATGGTTATCGTGGCCTTCTGAACCACTAATGAGATGTGGCTGTGGGAATCCTCAAGTTTGACCAGTAAGTTTGACTCTTAAAAGATATTTGTGTTTATGTAGTGGAAATATAAGAAAGCATATTTTGACTAATGGTATCACCCTAGAGAGAAACATACTTGTTATAAATATGTTCCATTGCAATTGCTGGAAATCTAACAAAATTGCCATAAACAGGACTTACATCAATGTTTCTGCTTGACCTTTCTGGGAGAATAAAAGTACCTTCTGGGAACATGAAACAAATGAATTTTTTGGAAACAAAATGAGCAACACAGCCCTTCTTCTTTATAAAAAGGAGCCACGATATAGCTGCTGCTGCTTAGTAACAGTTCCTCAAAATGATTCATAAAAGCACCAGATGTAAAGGTGCGCACGTGTGTTTCTTAACTCCAGGCTCTGATGCAAAACTCAGAAACACTCACGCTGTGGGTATGAGCATTCGAGATTTTAGATGAATAGCATTTGCAAAATGAAAACCATATCCTCCTAGACATGGATAAGCTATGCAATCAACTCCCTCGACGTTCTTATTTCTGCCAGTTTGATGGGTTGTTGGAACCACAATAGCTGTTGCATACCATATCCTGGTGCTTCCTTGCAACAGCTAGATTGCGCCTTTTTAGATAGCCCTCTTCTACATTTTCCCCTTATGACAAAGATACCTTGCCTAGCATAGAAAACCTGCTTGATGATGAAACGTGGTTAGCCCACAAAAATGCTATCAGCACCACTGAAGCCGAGTACATTTAATAGGCCCAGAAGAGTTCTATTAAGGAGTCCTATTACACAAGTAATGCTCAGTGCTTTTGCCCGTAATTAAATATTATAGATATATGTAAATGCAGAACTCAATTAGGAGGAAAACTCAGTTTTCTAACTGCTCATACATTATTCCAAGTGACCCATTAGTTTGGATTAATTGTCATAATCCCAATCACAGTATTTTGTAAAATCTTGTGCAAGTAGCCAAAAAGACAACAGTAGTGCCACTAAAGTCCATTTCTTAATACGTTCCCAGTAGGAGATGCAGTATGTTCACATAAGAAATACTGTTAGCCTAAAAGTAAAGTGTGACAAAGTCTACACAAACGTCTTCTCTGCCTTTCTTCATCTCTCACAGCCAGCGACTGCTGAAGCAGTCTGATTCCTTGTCTAACTCTTCAAATCACTAACGCAAGAAACACGAATCCCTCATTGCAACCCCTTCTTCATACAGTTTCTTTTAAAGAGAGGAAATCATTTAAAGCCAGGTAGAATTTCTGACGCATTTGTTACCCACCAATTACTGAAAAAAATCACCGCGTTTGTCTTGCAGAGCTCGAGAAAGCAAAGGGAGCAATTCCCCACCCCACTCTCCCGAGCCACCCTGAGTCCTGGGGTACAGCACTACGCTTTGGCAAGGAGGGCATAAAACCGGCCAGGCGCCTTGCCAGCACAGGCACAGCACAGGCACAGCACCAGGGCACTTCTATATTGGCTCTTCTTCTTTTGTGGCCTCTGCCAGCTGGCTGCCGTCACCGTGGCAGAGCTGAGCCTGAGCTCCTGGGCTTAACCCTCTGCTACGACCAGGCAGGATCCAAGGGCTGCCTCTCACCCATTCAGGCTGAACATCCCATCTTTCAAAAGAAGTCATGGCCTAGAGAGTGTGGCTTGCACAGCAGCACTCATGCAACACGTAGCAAATACACGATGTTGAGATTTGCAAAAGACACCAGTAGATAGAGTTATTCCTGCTCACCCCATCCTACAATTCTCCTCTCCTGCCTCTCTCTCTCTCCACGCATCCACATATGTTAAAATTAAGTGGGTCTTAACAGATCCATAAGTGGGATATACCCAAGTGTTTCCAATTTACCCTCAGTGAACTTGAATGAAAAACATTTGAAAATGAAATTCTGGGTGAAATCTTACAGCATTGCTACAGCATATGGAGCTAATTTCATATAGCACTTTGATAATGTCATGATCTGTTAGAAAGTGTTCACCTTATACTGAAGATCCTATAAACTCAGTTGCCTCACTCAGAATATGTTCATCTTATGATCCATAAGAAAGCTATTTAGTGGGTTGTGAAATATGAACTTTGGCCAGAGCTAATTTAGGACGATTGTTATACTGTGGATGGTGCAGCTTGTTTCTTCTGTGACTGTCATATTAGTCAACTGTTCGCAGCTAGTAAATTCACATCTAATAAACTGCAAAAGTTATCAGATGAAACACAGCCTACTGTAATCCCCACCTGAAGTAAATAACTGATGAGAAATTAGTTCCAGCACATGTAACAAATATTTTTGCAACCAGCATCTGATAAAGGAATTGGCTTCATTAACAACTAGCTTACTCACGCAATGAAAAAAATTCAGGATCTCCTCTATCACTACAGGCCACAGCGTTTCTCTAATGCTTACCAGGAAAGAAAAAGACTTAACTGTAAACAAAACCACACATAGACCACATCTCCTGGCAGGCACGTAACTTGGCATGGGGAACACAGTGGTAGAAATATGTTAAAGCAGAAGGGATTTGCTGGATGCGAAACACAGGCGAAAGGCACTTGGGCTAATGAAAGCCTTGGTGCAGGGCTGCTGTAAAAGGTATTGACAACATGGAGGAGGCCGTATTCATCAGCTGAGTCCAATCATTCATGGCCAAGGATTTAAGGCTGAAGAGAGTAGTGAATTTCCACCCCACTTCTTCTTGCCCCCTTCTGGAGACAAATGAAGTCCAACAACTCCTCCTGTGACTCCAATTAACTTGTGGCCCTTTTAAACCAGACTGGGCACTGGTGGCTCCCAAAGGGTTGTTCCAGCAACCAGGGCAAATGAAGATGCAGGCACAAACTTGTGCTTGCGTTGGGACATCCCCATGGCCACTGCGGGGAAGGCGGTGGGGGGAAGCCGGCCATGCCCAGGTCACGCTCCTCCCAAGTTCTTCAGTTTGAAAGCAATTCTTAACAGCTTCTTGACCTCCTGTAAAATAGCGGGTGAAAGGGTCTAAAAATCCTTATATTCTCCCTAGAACAGCAGGTCTTTGGGCTCTGTAAATTGTATTTGCAGAGGCACCGCTTCAAATCTGGAGTAACGCTCGGAAATCCACTCCCTTTGCTCTTGGTGGGACAAAATTCCTCTCTCTTCAGAGACTGTTGGAACAAGGGTTAGGAAAGGTGTGTCAAGACTGAA